AATGCCAGCTCTTGGTTTTCACAGCAGAAAAAGAATAGAGCAACTCTTTTGTTGCAAAGAACTCAGAAAGACCACCACAGTATAGTGTTTTTGAGAGGTAGTTAGCTGTGTTAGTCTGAAGTCGAGCAGAAGGCAAGATAGAGATGCACTTACAGACTGACTAAATCAGAGATGCATAAGCTTTTGGGAGCCCAGTCTCAGTTCATTAGGTGTGACAGCATCTTTTGATGCTGTTGCTTCCTGTTTGAAATCTCTGGGTTTATCTTGTGAATCGTTTGCACACCTGATAGCACTGACACTGTGCGGCACCCTTGAAAGGATCTCGAAGCATCCCAGAGTGCCATGGCACCCAGGCTAAGAATTACTGGCCTAGATGGTCAGCAGAGATTCGGCATCCTTCTCTTTCCATTGGTCAGTACAGCCTCTAGAAAGACAGGACCAAGCTTTGTCCTGAAATCCAGTGGACTGAAACGATGGCAGGAGCCAACAGTGTCTCCCTGCCTGCCTCTTCCTCTTTTGGTCCACACTCAAACCTAAGTTTGTCTTTTTTTTTTTTTACCTAGTGGTTGCTCTAGCCGCCTCAGTGAAACTGAAGTGATTCTAATAAGTTTTTCAGGTCTGTGTCTTTCCCGCACAGGATAATTTGTGTCTCTAGTAGGGACCTACAGGCTGACTAAAGTTGACTGTCATTTTCCTGCTTGTTGGTAGGGAAGTCTTGTATCCAGCATCAGCAACACAAAGGAGAATGCTATGTTGTCCTGGTGTGTTAGAGCAGAGAAGTATAATGTTTAGTATCGCAAAATTTAACTCCTTAGTATTCCTGAGCACTTATCATAAGCATTGTAGTGTTGCTGCTGCTAAGCTGCTGGTGAATTCTGTTTTCATCGTGTATAATGTAATGCAAATAAAAAACACAAGATGGGGCTAGTATTTAAGAACTGACCAAAGTCAATAAACTAGGGGATTGTCAACATGGGGATCCTTGCTAGCATCGCAAAACATTGTACTGTTAAATGTCCCGGTGTAGACAGACGCTTAGTACACACTTGAAGATTAGATGCTCTGTTTCTAAGATACCATGTGGTAGATGGAGACTAAAAAAGTGATGTGCCAGTCAACCGAATAGTAAAAAGCAAATGTGAGAGATGTGTGAAATGTTTCATAGCATTGCAAAACTAATTTAAGGGGTTGTGTTAACCTTACCAATGGTTATTTGTATTTTAGAGGGACTTTGAATATGTCTGGGATAGCCCTCAGCAGACTTGCACAGGAGAGGAAAGCTTGGAGAAAAGACCATCCCTTCGTAAGTACAGTAGAACTCCCTAATATCCTGCTTCTGCATCTGTACTGAATTTGGATTTTTATGGTGATCACCTTTCCCAACTGTAAAGTGGAACTGTAAAGTAGCTGCTGAAACCTATTCCTCTATTGCATAAAGAAGTTGTAGCCAAGTTGGTGTGTGTATAGTGATTGCACTGTTCAGGTATGTTAAATGTATCTCTGAAGTCTCACTCTGTTTGGTTTTTTGTTTTAATGTAGGGATTTGTTGCAGTACCCACAAAAAATCCAGATGGCACAATGAATCTCATGAATTGGGAATGTGCTATTCCAGGAAAGAAAGGGGTAAGACTCTTGCTGTCAACTTAATTGTCAGTGTGGGGGATCGGTGTTAAGCTGTTGTCAGAGATAAAAAAGCAAACAACTGTGGAGTGTGTTGTATTAAATAACGCTTAACTGATGTTTCCTGTTTTAACCTAACTCCAACTTCTTTGAAACCACATGGCAGTTCTTCTCTTCCAGTCCCATGCTGCAGCAGACCTAGGGTTCATCTCGATACCTAGTCTGTGTCTGATGTGGTGAATGTTTGATCCTTGTAGAAGGCAGGCAAGGAATAGTCTGTCCTTCCACGTTCGGATTTCATCATCATGGTCTCTAAAGGTCAAATATTTGGCTTAACCTTAAAGCATGAAGATTGGTTTTTTTTAAACTGTTGTTATTAATTAAAACCATGGAGGTTTTTGTGCCTCTTGAATAGCCAGATCCTTCTGGAATCTTGCTAAAAATGTTGACCTCTGTGCCTCATGGCCCAAGATCCTGCAGCCTGTTTATATGTTGTGAGGAAACAGAATTTCCTCTCCATCAATTTGACATTTCTGTGATGCAGGTAGAGCAGAAACTCCTGCCGCCTTCATTTAACTCCTTTGTGTTCCCTTTGTGTACACCTCAAGTACGTGCAATTCCAGTCTCTTTTTTTTTTTATGAGACATTTCTTTTTGTTTTTGCTCATTTTCATCATATTTCTCTGTGCCTCCTCTAAAGCATATTTTTGGTAAGAGTTATCTGTGCAGCTGTTGATCTTACTTGCATTTTTTGACTAAGGTTACACATTAAGTAGAGGTTATCCTGGATTTTTTGACAGTGATATAGTGGTCCCTTTCCTGATTCGGTACAGTTCATTAGAATCTTATAAGGTGTAAGAGTCATTTGCACACTGGAGAATAAGAGTTTATTGCTCCAGATTTAATTGACACTGAACTTCTGTTACCATTGTGTTGTCCATTTGCCATTCATTATCTGTTCACCTACCTTGCTTGGCTCTCTGAAGTCTTTCACTCCTCTAGTCCACATGGACCAAAATACATGTCACTTACAAAATTTGCTGTGTCACTTCTTGACCAAATTTTAGATGATGATAAAATATATTAACAATGGATTTAGTAGAAAACCTTGCTGTTGGTATCCAAAATCTGAAGTCTCTCTCTCCCCATCCTTGGCCACATGGATAAATTACTTGACTTTTTTGTAATCAAATTAGTATTTGGTTGGTCTTGCTATGAATTCTCAAACTTGAATACCTCAGTCGCATTACTTTTAGAGACTTAAACACTGGATGCTAATTTAAGTCTCACATCAGTCTGACAAAATAAGAGAGCTGTCCATAATAGCAGACTAAAGCACCTCCTCAGGTTTTATGTCCTAACCACTACTGTCCAAGTGTCCAAGAAATAAGGGGGTCTTGCAGCCTAGAAAAAATCATACATCCTATTCTTTGGTTGGAGGAAGTCAAAGATACCTTTTAGAAAATGTCTTGTGCATAAAGGAGGTGTTTGCAGACCTGTGGGGTTTAAGACTGTTGAGATGAACACTTTCCCCCTAATCACAGTTGTAGCAGTATCTTGTTGGGAGAGGATTCTCTCTCAGGTAGATGGTGGCTTCATTTTTTGACTCAAGCGTGAACGTTAAGTTAAGGTTGGGTTACGTCCTCTTTGATATCAGAGTAGTAGTAGGAAGTCATCTGGGGAACTGTAAGACTTTTTATATGTGAAATCAGTAAAAATGCTAGATATAGCACATTAAAGGTTAGAGAATAGGACTTCTAAAGAGTAGTAGCTTATGATTCAGGAAATGTTGTGTTAAAAATAAGCCAAGTAGGCAGATACAAAGAGTTAAGCAAAAGACCAAGAACTAGCAAGACTTGCACAGAACAGTCTGGCTTCTCTTTCTCTCCCCTTTTAATTAAAAGCTTTCCCTCTTTTTTAGAAATGCTTGGCATACTTTGCATGAATACTGTAACCTAAATATTTCAACTGTAATTTTCTGACAGACACCATGGGAAGGAGGCTTATTTAAGCTACGGATGCTTTTCAAGGATGATTATCCTTCCTCGCCCCCCAAATGTAAGTAAAACGGCATAATTACAAGTTTTTAATAAAATGGTATCGGGTCAGTTAGTGTTTCGGGGCTGTACTGTGAACTATCTAGCTACTGGCTACTGATGATAGGGTGATTATTTTGTAACCCTTCAAAACAAATCTGGGTTCTCAGTGAGGTTTGTTGTAGTTTAAAAATGGTATAACCTTTCTTTTTCCCCCACATGCAGTCAGTCGTATGTTCTTTAAGATTTAATTTATTTATTTTTTGGTGGCTGGTTTCTCAAGAAAATTTGAGATGAGTTGTTTGGCTATTTGAATTCAGGATGACTGAAAATTCTTGTAGAAAGACCATTGTCTTTCTTTGGGCCAGTAAAAATAGTTCAGATTTGAAACCTGGTGCAACCGGTGGGTTGCGTGCAGGGTACGGTGACCCCGGCCCCAGTGAGGGGGGACAGTGGTGAGAGCAACCAGTGGGTTGCGTAGCCCCCGTGTAAGGGGGCACTGGTGAGAGGGGGCGTTGAGGAGAGTCCCATTTAAGGGAGGAGGTGTGTGGCAGTGCACTGTGTGTGCCTGCCACTTGCAACCAGTGGGTTGCGT